TAAGTCAATGTTAGAATGTTATAGGTTTCATCTCTTAAGAAAATCGTTCACGCTTTTCCCAAATACCAAGAAAATGGCAGAAAGTCTGAAAGAGCAAAATACAGACCCATATCCTCAAATTGTGTCTTCCTCGCAAAGAGAATTTGATTATAGATTTGTTGACTTAATGAATTTAAAGCCTTTTTTAAAATTCTTAAATCAATCCCTTTAATATTACTGATGCAGAAGATACAGCTACAGCAATTTTTAACTATTTTCATCTTAACAATATGGAAAACTTAGAAATAATAACTTTACAAAATGATGTTATTTTAAAATCTTATGAAACCAATAAGATATTTTGGAGCTTGGTAAACAGAAATAAGTATCCTATTTTAAAGTCATGCGCGGTAAAGATTGATTCTTATTATTCAAGTACCTATAATTGAGAGTGTTTTCGAACATGACTGATTTGAAGTCAAAATATCATTCAAAACCTACTAATTCGCACTTAGATAATTGTTTAGGAGCATCCATCTCAAATTATATTGTCGATTATAATAAGTTAGCATGCGAATTGCAAACACAAATTTCACACTGACATATCAAAAAAATTATTCAGAGTATAAATTATAAATATTTGTTATTTAATTCCCTAAAATTACATCTTTTAAGCAATACTAGTTTGCAGTATGACGTCTGATGTTTGATTACGAAATCTGAATGGGTGGCGCCCGCAAATAATTTAAAATTTTATTTTATGCCCTCTGTTAATTTCAACCCCGGGAGTGTTTTGTATTAACAGAAAGTTGAACTGTGATGGGTTTGTTCCTCAAACACGTCACACCCTCGATGAGCAAAAGGTTGCCGACCCCTGGTTTAGACGAAGGGATATTGACAGGTGCAGTGAGAATCGTCAGAGGGAGATTTACAGAGAACCCGAGAATGGGTTATCGGCGATCAGGGAAGGAATATTTAAGCAAAAAAATAATGGCAATATGAAATTTCAACGTAAATGAGTAAGAAGAGTCCAACACTTTGTGATCAGGGTCTCCTATCGATATAATTTTCACTGGCGAGTAGAATATGAAAGACATAAAATAATTGCCCCAAAATCGTAGAATTATATACAGAGGGGAAAAGTAAAGTTTTATATAAGTGACAGTTCATTTCCCACTTTTAATTATAACCTTCCAAAAAGCTCCACTCCTTTTGGGAACGAAAAATTTACACGCTGACATAAACGAATGGCGCTTCTTCGAGAATAAGCCTTTGATATGTGAGTGGGTCTTTTCTGTCCTTTTTCAACGTGATCACCGTTTCCCAGAGAAAAACAGGAATGCATTCATAATTTAACAGAATCCGTTTTACGGCATAAATAATAAAAGTTTTCGAGATCCAAAGAATTTTCTGATAAAACTGCGGTTCAGTTATGTAAAAGAGAAGTGCCGGGGACGTCTTAAAGTCTCCGGCGTGCTCGGACTAGAAATAAAATTTATCTCAAAAACTGAGAAATACCGGGGTCGGGCAATTTAATCTCTGGCAAGTCCGCTTTACATGATGTCTAAAACAATTACAACATTAAAAAGTATATCAAATTAGAAAGCCATAGAATATACAGTTAAAGCCCTCTGAATCTGAAGTTAAAAATCTTAATGGCTTATACTAGAAGTATTTACATATAAATATTAGTCTAACAACCATAAATACAGAATTGCAAATGCTGCTTGACAGATATGTTTTATATAAACTACACTGTATCACGATGAAAAAATAGTTTTAAATCTGAATTGAGTTTAATATGTGCAATTCTATACATTTTTAATTTAACAAAAATTTTGGTCGGGTCAAAGTGTAGAGACATTAGGTTATTTTTGAAACAGGAAGAAGTGAAAAATGAATTTTCGCCGCGAAACGAACTACGGACCTCTGGAATACGAGCCCAGCGTGCAGACCACTACACTACGAAGGCATGCTAAGAAGGCGGGAAAAATACCTCACATACTCCTTCTTTTTAAAGGGCGACTGGGTTTAAAAGGACCCAATCGCCAAATCCTGGGTGTGGAGAGTCATCATCCACCACCTTTTTAGTTCGGGCGTCACTGTAGAGACATTACGTATTTTTTTTTAAAGCAGAAGTGATGAAAACATGAGCTACGCCTTCTTCGGGAATCGAACCACGTACCTCTAGGAATACGCGTCCAGCGTGCAGACCACCACACTACAAAGGCATGCTAAGGCGGCGAGATAAATACCTTATAAAAGGTAATTTTTTGTGCATTTTACGTCTCTGGTTTAGCCAAGCAGCAGATTATCCATTCAGCTCTAAACAAAATAAAATAAAAATTGATCTCGAATTTTATAAATGATATAGAAATATTAAATGAAAAAAAAAATAATTTCTTTAGCTCTGTTGAAACCATTGCGGATGTTCATCATTTTCAAAATGTAAAAAAATTTTCATTATGATCATGGAAGACTATCTATATAGTAGATTGACTATTCTAGAAAAAGCCAATGTATGCTGTAGGGTTTTATCGAACCAAAGCAATTTAAATGCAGTGACTCAAATAGCAACAAGAAGAGAGGTGAAAACGTAAAGCTAAGCGACTGGAGCTTCGGTATTCCAAATTGTCTGAAAGAATGTTAATATGTACAATAAAAGAAACAGCGGAATTCTAAGAAAAATATATGGAAATTTTACCGTATTTTAATTAATACTTAAACAGTACGCTGAATATCGTTCCTTTAAAACCTTTTAAGAATTTACTTTCTGTAATCTACAAGGACATTACTGAATTATCAGTTCTCTAGTTATCTGCGCATTAATTAGCTTGAATGATCAATAGTGTAACATATCTAATTGTTTATTAATATTGCCTCGGCTAGTATTATTCACCAAACTTAAGCAGCAAGTTTGTTTCAAACTATTTATCATTACTAGAGGGCACCACCACGCAGTTGCTACATCGAAAATGCAATTTAGAAAAAATAATTTACTATAGGATGGCAGCACCACAAAAAAATTATAAACACATTATTAAAAAACCTGGATTGTATTGCATCAGGATATTTTGAATATTTAAATTGCTTGATTATCAAAATCTTAATTCAGTGTTGACGGGAATCATAACAGTTCAGATCAGTAAAATGTCGGGAAGGAGCAGCAAAAAATAAAATTTTTTAGATTACGTATTTTAAAACTGTTCAGTGCTAGTTTTTAAATGCTTCCGACATCTGAAAAATATCATTACGATCATACATACATATATATAACCAATATTTTTCAGTTGACAAATCATTTTATAAATAAACCATGTCACTTTAATTTGCACGTGTTCTTTTTAAATTTCTTCTGTCTTATTACAAAATACACTCTTAATGATGAAAACAAAGTAAATTTAGTCCAAACAGCATTTTTTCAAATTACTGAGAAATTTTTAATATTTAGTGCACATACATATCTAGCATGTACACTCTGCACACACACACAGGGACAGTCCTGTATCTTCCGTTCCCAGTTCTACTAGGCCCGATTGACGAAATTTAACTTCTGTTTTTCATGTCTCGAAAGCTCCCCTTAGGATGTATATTAGGTTTATGCTTAAAAATTGTTCATATATAGGTATTTTGACACAAAACCAAACCTTTTCTGAAATGACATACCGAATTTTTCCATATTTCGATTCTGAAACTCAAATTAAACCAAAGTGCCAAGTCTTGTAAAAATCGTATCAATAGTTTTTAAAAAATTAACTATCAAGATTTTAGCTTTTCAATGTTAATTGAATTTGGTATATATTTATTAATACCTCTTTTTTTATTAAATTTACTTGATGCCTTCTTTCACAATTCAAATTTAGATTCACTCCAAAAAAATTCACCGATATTTTCTAATTTTTTTTAGTAATTTTTATAAATTTTTCGAAAAAAATTTTGAATTATAACTTCTAAAATTTGTATCACTAACTAAAAGTGATACAAAAGTTATATTTCTAGGCCTATCTGAAAAAAAATTAGAAGTTCTTATTAAAATTTCCCAGGATACACGTGAATTTATATATTTAAAATTTGGCATATTTTTTTATGAGAGATAATAACGCCAAATGTGGTTAATGTACTTCGTTAAAACTATCTGAAAGAACGAACGATGCATTTTCTTTCCGCTCGTGCACAATGAAGAAAGAGAGAGGACAAAGGTTAGTATAAAATTAGAACTTCGTTAAGTTAATTAATCTTGGCGAAAACTAAAAATAGTACACCAAGATAAATTTTTAAATTTCTCACCAAATTTCACAGAATGTAATATTTAAGCATAATTTGAGTCATACAATCAAAATTTGGAAAAACATCGGTGAATTAACGGGGGCGCAGCCCTCAGCCCACCCAACCAAGAACACTTGGTCATATGACTTATCACAAGGGCCGGCCCATCTAACAACAAACGAGGGGCCAGAGACCCGGCCGTGCTCAAAAAAACGTGCTCAAAAAACTAACAAAGAAAAACAAACAAATAAAATATTAAACTATGAATCCCGGGAAACCAAAAGCCCCAGGAACCGAGTAACAAAAAAGTTAGAAAAAAGAGAACTAAACAAAATCATAAATACGACCAGTGAATTTCATGTCATCACTGGACCTTAAACATTCACACAAAAGAACATAATAAAATAATAAAGAACTGTTAGAAAATAAAAATAAGACAACACATAACCAAGCAAATACAATACAAAAACACCATTCACACATAGATTCCTATGGCTTCTCTTGAGCTATTCACAATCTTCATAATTTGTCTAGAATATTCCACAAAGTTCTTATAATTTTTCTTGAAATCACTTCTATAATATTTTTGATATCTATCCCTTGCACTCCCAGTAATAATACAGTTCTCAAAGAAATGCATAGAGTCTCCAGTGACATTACAAATATTACATTTATCATTGTCCTGCAATCCAAAACGTTTCAAATATGCAGGGAAGCGTCCATGTCCCGTAAGCATTTGATTGGCATCTATATCTTTATAACTTCATTTCTTTTTCAATATTTATATTTTTCAGTAAACCACAATTTCTATTAGATTGTTCCCAATTATTTTTCCATTCGTTCAATACATAATTATATAGAGTAGAGGTGGCCCTTCTTCTAGAGTCTGGGATATTTTTAATAATCACATTTTCATCCACAGCTGCAGACTTAGCTAATTCGTCCGCCCTCTCATTCCCTTCATATCCTGCATGTGCTTTTATCCAGTGAAGCTTAATATTATGTATATCTTTCAATTGTGCATATGTCTTTTTTATTTCAAATACAAGAGAGTTTTTACTTTCAGGACCCGAGAGGGTCTGTAGCACCGACAATGCATCAGAATAAATATTTATATTATATCTAATTTTCAATGTGCCTTTAATCCAATTGAGAGCTTCAAAAATAGCATACATTTCTGCTTGATAGACAGAATTCATAGAATTTAAACGAAATTTCCAATTTTGTATTTCAATTCCATAGAAGAATACCACGATCGCACCTCCAATACCCCCCTCGAGTCCTGAACCATCTGTGAAAATATTCATTTCCTGACATTCGAGAAATGCACAGTCATAAGGAATCAAAATCTTATTACTAGGATGAATACAATCATCATCAAAATTTAGAAACGCTTCACTTTTAATAACACATTCATTTATATCTATATGATCAACCAAATTATTCGAAAGTAAAAATTTTTTATAATAAAAATTATACTGGAATGAGAGGGGCGGGACACCAGCAAGGAGGCAGACCACCTCTGTAGAGACTGTCCTGAAGACTCTCGTAACTGCCAGCATCCAGCTTCTCTGCAAAGTATTCAATTTATCTCGCAAGCGGATCAACTCCCCTGCCCTAGCACCCCAAGCACCTATTCCATAGAAAATCTTAGGTAAGATAACACTGTTAAAAATTCTCTCTTCAGTATCGGCGCTTTTTTATGCAAAGTTTCTGTATTAAAAGTACTACGATAAAAATGTAAAATTCTATCAGTTTCTCTATGTATAGATTTAAAATGTTCAATAAAATTTAGCTTTTCATCTATAATAACACCCAGATATTTTACATTTCTCTGAAAACGGATATTCTTACCCTCAAATTTCAATCTTGGTGCTCTAGTTCTAGCACGGAAAAACATCGGTATGTTATTTCAGAAAAAGTCAGACTTTGTATCAAAATACCTATGTTAAAACTCTTGGTAGTGTGGATATAGGCAAAGCATATTTTGCTTCCCTTAAATAAAGCTAAGACTAATATAAATAAAATTCATGCTTTATTCCGTAAATTAAAATAAAATAAGCTAACACTGTAGCCTTTACATTTAAAACTACTTGAGGGAAAGAAAACTAGCATAATGCTAACTCACATTCACCGATACCCGGCGTACTTATATACCTACTCGGCCAACCCGCCGATCTTGACGTCATTGGCCAATCAGCGGCAACCACGTTAGCTTACCGCCGTTTGACCTTCGATCAAAATTTTCATAAGGAAAACTAAAGTCAACAAACGGCCCTCTTTTCCTCATGCAAAGACCAAAACAAAACTTACACAGAATTACAGAAGCTCATAGTTAAGTTCTATTATATGAAAACACTTATTGTCTTTAAACACTGAAAACATCTAAACAAAACTTCCTTAAATTAACAGCAGTCGCCGCTTTTGTAAATAAGTCCGCAGTATTTAATTTACTGGTGATAAATTCAAGGTCAAACACTCCATCATTTACTAGTCTTCTAATAAAGTGATATTTTATGTCTATGTGGTTAGTCCGGCGATTTTCTATTGGCGATCTCGAAATATCAATGACAGACTTGTTATCGCAAAATAGTTTACACTCTCTTAAATTAAACTTTAAAATTTCATCTTGTAAGACATTTTTCGTCCACATTAATTCCTTCGCTGCCTCCGATAAGGCGATATACTCCGCTTCCATGGTTGATAAAGTTACACATTTTTGTTTAACAGTTTTCCAGATTACCGGTGCTTCATCTAAATAGAATATAAATCCTCCCATGGACACGCGGTCATCCCTATTGCATAATCAGCATCTGAATAACAATATAAATTTAGATGTTTAATCCTCGATAAGTTTAACTTATATAATTTGGTACTATTGAGATAACCAAGCAATTTCGCCAATGCTTCCCAATGCCAAATTCCAGGATTCTCCTGAAATTGTGATAAGATATTCACTGTATATTTAATATCAGGCCTTGTCCTGTTAGCTACAAAAACTAAACATCCCAAACAGATTTCTAAATGGTAATGTACGCATTTCAGCACTTGTAGATGGACAATCTAATTTTGTAAGAACAGTGCCTTTATCTATGGGAAGTGAAGTTATTGGTATCTGGAAATGTTTAAATTTTTCAAAAATTTCTTCGATATATTTTTGCTGATGTATAAAAACCCCATTCTCGTTCTCTAAGAATTCAATTCCAAGTAACGTTTTAGTTTTGCCTAATACTTTAAGATAAAAAAACTTACTCAGCTGTGAAATTACTTTATCTATACTATATTGATCTTTACTAAAAATCACAATATCATCTACATATAACAAGAGAATTACATTTGAACTCTTATAAACACAATTACACCATTGTATTTTCTTAAAATGTAGATTTTCTAAAGTACTTTCAAATTCACAAAACCATTCACGGCCGCTTTGATGTAGACCGTAAATGGCCTTGTGTAATAAACACACTTTATTTTCCTCTTCAATAAATCCCTCTGGTTGGGTCATATATATTTTCTCATTTAGGTTTGCATATAAATATGCGTTCTTTACATCTAACTGACAATTAGTCCATCCATATAAACATACCAGTATAGTGAAAAATATTCGGCTAAAGCGCAGAATCACCCACTTATTTGTTTGGCGCTTTTTAAGAAGAATTGGATAAATTTTCTTTGACTTTTTAAATGAAAATAGGTCGATGTGTACATGGATAAAGTCAAGGGAGTGTGCAATGCCATTTTTGTGCAATTCTAGAATTTTTTTAAGTGAAAATAGGTCGATGTGTACATGGATACCGAGTATGTGCAATTCTTAAAAACGTGCCAAGCAGTGGGTGATTCTGCACTTTCCCCAAATATTCTTATGATTGAAAAATTTACTACAGGACTGTAAACGTCATCAAAATCTTCATCTCTTTTCTGCCTGAATCCCTGTGCTACTAAACGTGCTTTGTATCTAACCACTTCATTCTTTTCATTTTTTTAGCGTATAGACCTATTTGTTTCCTAGCATAGTTTTATTTTCTGGCTTTTCGCCTAGTTCCCAAACCTTTCTTTTCTTCATTGTGTAAATTTCTTCTTTCATTGCCTTATCCCATTCTTCGGCATTTACTGATTTTCGTGCTTCTTTAAAATTTTGTGGGATAACAATTTCTACAGAATTTGCTTCTTCATACACGGAGCTAGTCCCCTGTTCTACAAAATTAAATTTCCCCGAGGAAAGTTTTTTTTTCACTAAAATCTAACTTATTTTTTTCAAATTTAATATTTCTTGCCTCACAATACTTTTCAGTATCATTATAAAAACGGGTGTCTGTTCCTTCTACATAATAATGTATGTCTGTACGTGTTCCGTCTGGTCTTTTAACTGCTTTTATTTGCCAGTTTAAATCCGATACTTCTTTCGGGGTAGGTTTGTCATCTGACAACTTTATTTCTTCTCTAGAAGTTTCCTGTTCTTCATCTGATTCTCCTAATGGCTCAGATTGTTCTAGTCTTTTAAACTTAGTTTTTGATTTCTGTTCCAGAATGCCATTTGCTACATTCAGTTCTTCATCGAACTTCACATTACAGGTTTCTATTAATCTGCGTTCTTCTGGTAGCCATATCTTATAACCCCTAGTTTCCTTCGCATATCCTACCCCGATTCCTTCTTTGCACCTCATATGTAATTTATTTCTAATCTGTTTTCACGCCAACATAGGTGTGTATTGGTGTATTTAATTATGGCAAAGCACACGAGGGCTATCTGCCTAAGGGGAGGGATGCCTTCGTGGAGGACTTTCTAAGGGAAACTGGCTCGTATACACGTTACACATGGGGAAAACCACGAAAACGCCCATGCAGCCAGCCCGTTCGCGGGTTTCGAACCTCGGATCGAACTACCAGTGTTCAGCGACTTTATCGCTCGGCCGCTGGTGGGCTCACGCCAACATAGGCTTTACAACCAAATACTTTAAAATAAACAACACTGGGTTTTTTTTTAGGAACATGTCATAAGGGGTTCGATTGTTTTTATCACATATTTTGTTCCACGTATGTACGAAACAGCCAAGAGCTTCTGCCCACCATTCTTTTCCCATTTTACCATCATTAAGCATAGCTTTAACAGCGTCTAATGCCATTCGGTTAAAACGTTCACACACACCGTTCTCTTCTGTCTTCTGGAGTTTACGCGTTTGTGCGTTCAACACTAATTCCATTTTCGGCTAAGTACCCTTCGAATTGCCTGTTACAGAATTCCACACCACCGTTATCGGTGCGTATACTTATTAATTTTCTATTCGTCGTCAGTCTTTCCATTTGCCTATGATAATTCTTAAAGTTGTAGAACGATTCATTTTTTATTTTTCATACAATACACTGTTACTAATCTACTATAGTCATCCACAATAGGGAGGAAATATTTACTCCCACCCTTAGATGGAACAGGGAGTGGGCCACAAACGTCTAAATAAACCAACTGCAATGGTTTATCTGATCTCTTCGGAACAGTTTTAAAAGTTATTCTACTAGATTTAGCAATAATACAGGGTTCACACTTCTTCATTGGTTTTTCACTTTCTGGTAACCCTTTCACGCTTTGATTCATACTGGTATTCTTAATATAATCAAAATTTACGTGGCAAAATCTCCGATGCCATAGCGTCGCATCGTCTACTTTATTTAACTTTCCAATTTCTGTACCGTAACCAGCTTCCTTTTTATTTATTGCATATCTAAATGGCTTTACATGATAAAGTCCGTCATATCGTTTAGCGTAGCATAATCTATCCCAATTATTAAAGTATATCCATATCTTGCCTTTTGAAATCACAAAATGAGCACCTGCCTTTTTTCTAACCTTGCTCCCGATAGTAAATTTTTTCTTAGATTTGGATTATATAACACATTATCTAACTCAATCCAATTTAATCGATTGCCTACTTTTACTGCAAATTTAACGGTACCCTTTTCTAGTTCTTTACTTTCACAATTTCCTACAGCTAAAGACATACGTATATCGTTTATTTCTTCAAAATTTATCATTAAATTTATATTATTACAGAAATGAGTTGTAGCTGCAGAATCTACTACCCAATTAAATTTATCTGCGTTACCTACATAATTCTCTAATCTATCTTCCCCTGCATTTGAACTAATACACTGACTACCAATAAGTATTTGGACACCTGTGATAGAAAAGAAAAACTAACTTTATTCAAAATCAATAGTTGGTAGAGCCTCCACGAGAGGTAATTACAGCGTGGACCCTCCAGGGCATACTTTCCACAAGTCTTTGTATGACAGCTAGTGGTATTTTCTTCCACTCGGCTTGGAGAAGACATACAAGTTCCTACACCGATTTTGCACGGGTAGTGCACCCCTGAATTCGATAGGGTTCAGGTCTGGACTCTGGGCAGGCCATTTCTTTCGATGAACTCCATTGGCACCATACCAAGCCTTGGTTAACGTCGAAACATGACAACTGGCACTGCCGTCCTGAAAGTAACAGGGGTCCAACCCGTAAAACTGCCACAACGTAGGAAGCACATTGTCATCCAAAATAGTGCAGTAGACATCGGAGTTGAGCTTACCATGAATGGAGACCAAGGGTCCCAGCCCATACCAGGAGAAACACCCCCAGACAATAATTCCACCTCCGCCGAACTTGACTGTTGGCACAATGCATTCTGGCAGGAGACTTTCTCCAGGTAGACGCCAGACCCAGACCCTGCCATCCGAACGGTAAATGGTGAACCTTGATTCGTCACTCCAAAGAACCCGTTTCCACTGATCTACGGTCCAATTTCGATGTGCTTTGCACCACATTAACCGAGCAGCGCGGTTGGACTTTGTGATCAAAGGCTTATGGGCAGCAGCACGACCATGAAAACCAAGCAGATGTGCTTCCTTACGAATGGTATTCTTTGAAACAATACTCCCGGATGCCTGTTGAAACTCCTCGCGGATGAGGGCCATCGGTTGGGTGCGGTTCTTCCGAATTTCTCTGGACAGCACTCGTCGGTCTCTATCTCCCAGTTTCGTTGGTCTGCCGACTCGGGGCACATTCCGACAATTACCGCTCACGTTCCACTTCTTAATCACATAGGCCACTGTCAATTTTGGGTACTTCAGATCGCTAGATATGTCCCTTAAGGATCGGCCACATTTGTGATACCCGATAATTATACCTTTCTCGAAATCAGAGAGCTCCGAAATGCGAGGCATCTTGCATGCGACTAAAGCCGATGCTGTTTCCTACACGATATATACCGGCGGAGTCCGTGACGTACCTTAGGACCGCAGATATCGTCATTTGCATAGGTACTTATTGGTAGTCAATAATCCAAATACTTATTGGTAGTCAGTGTAGAATTAAACACGCTTACCATACTGTCTTCTAAATCGGCATTTACCTGGCGAAGTCGGCTTTCTTCCCTTACCAGTTCTTCAGCAATTTTTTCCAGCGTAAAAAATCTTCGTCCTTCCACCTATAGATCAACTGTACAATGCCGGAGTGTTCCTGGGGTAATCTCCTTATTGTCTGAAATCCTTCAAAAAGATCTGCCAAGTTGTGTCCAGCTTCAGCCAACTTCTTTGCAGTCATTCTTATCCTCGCGATGAATAACCCTATTTCTTTATTTGTTGCATATTTAATGCTAAAAAATGCATCCAGTAACTGAATTATTCTTGCTCTTATTTTGAGTTCGAATTGCTTCTGTAGAACTTCCCATGCTTCTTTACCTTATTGAGCATTCTTGTATCAGCGGCCTGAACTCGGTTTTAATTCCATAATATAATGTAGTAAAGGCTCTATTCTCTCTCAATGTGAAGTCCTGCTTTTCACGCCTTGTTGCACTTTTATCTAATTCTTCTTCTTTATCCTCTATGAAGCTCCAATTTGTATCCAGTAACAGCATTTTCATATCGACTTTTCATCGATATCAGTTGTCATGGTTTAACAGCTCAAAACATTCAGGTAGTAATGACATCTGATATTAAGTATGAGCACAACAACTTAAACAAACTTCTAAGACACGTCGGCCTCTTTTCGTGGATAACGGCCCTCTTCACCTACATTCCTTCAATGCTGAGTTGAACTGGGTAACAGGCTAGATGTTGGCGCTGGACCCATAACCCTATTGTCAGTGGTGATCTAGGCAAAGCATATTTTACTTCCCTTAAATAAAGCTAAGACTAATCTAAATAAAATTCATGCTTTAGTCCGTAAATTAAAATAAAATAAGCTAACACTGAAGCCTTTACATTTAAAACCATTTGAGGGAAAGAAAGTTAGCATAATGCTAACTCAGAACACACACATTCACCGATACCGGCGTACATATATACATACTCGGCCAACCCGCCGATCTTGACGTCATCGGCCAATCAGCGGCAACCACGTTAGCTTACGGCCGATTGACCTCCAATCAAAATTTGCATAAGGAAAACTAAAGTCAACGAAAACAATGCTATATAGTGAAGTAGTGTATGATTGTTGTTAATTAGCCGTTTCCATTACCAGTATGAGTAAAACTTTTGATTTAAACAGCTTCGATCACGGACGGATAGCAGGACCATTCAATTTTCGAAATTGTCAGAGGGCTAGGATTTTCAAGTTCGACAGTGTCAAGAGTATACCAAGAATACACGGATGGTGGAAAAAGAACTAGCAATCGGGCAAATTGCAAAGAACAATTAGCCTCGAACGAGAATGAGGTGAGCCTGCTAAGTCGTATTGTACATAGTCAACGAAGCCAAACAATAATTCAAATTACCACCCAACTGAATCAGGGCGCCAGTCGTATAGTCAGTAAATGGATCGCGCAGTGCTCACTTCACCATATCGGCTTCAAGAACCGTAGACCACAAAAGTACCATTGCTGAATGCATGCCATCGAGCTGCACTTCTTGGCCTGAGCAAGAGAACACAGAGAATTACTCTAAAGGGCTGGAAACGAGTAGTTTCGATTCCGACTAATTAATACCGAAATGAAGCTGAGAATATGGTGTCAGGCTCATGAAGCCATGGATCCTGCATGCCAGGTTGGAACTGTACAAGGCCATGGTGGCTCAATCATGGTCTGGGGTGTTTTCTCTTGGCAGTGTTTGGAATCTCTTGTACTTGTACTTGTACCAACCTCACTGAATATGATTGAGTATGTAGAGTTACTGTGCAATCATCTCCATCCATTTACATTATCCTATCATTCACACGGAAATGAAGTATTCCAGCAAGATAACTGCACCTCTCACAAGTCCAGGTGGCTACTGCCTGGTTGGATGAGTATTCCTCTGAATTCTCTGCCATAAATTGGCTACCTAGAATTCCTGATGTAAATTCTATTGAGCACCTTTCAGATGTTTTGGAGGATAGGTGTGAAACCACATCACAAAACACTAGCGACCCTTCCTAAATTATGGACAGATCTATCTGATGTTTGGCAAGCAATTTAGGTGAAATGCTCCCATACGTTTTGAATCTATGCCTTATTGTGTGGCAGCGATTATCAAGGTCGGAGGTGGCCCAACTCATCATTCACTAGCTATCGCTAATTCAGTGGCATTTTAGTGTATATAAATCTGATACATATCCTAAGTCGCGCTTTCAAGTCATGGAAAACGCCAATTAAATTTCGTCAATCAGTCCAATAAACAATGCAATGGGCCAAGAAACATCGGAACTGGACATTGGAAGAAGTTGCGTGTTCCGACCAATCGCGTTTTCTGGTTCATCACATCGACGCGCGTGTGTTAATACGATGATTTCTAAACGAAACCCTGGCTCCCAAATGCACAGTTAGACGGAGACAAGCCGGTGGCGGGAGGATTATGGTGTGGGCAATGTTTTCATGGAGTGCATTAGGACCCATAATCCCCATAGAATAATCCGCCGTCTGTGAGCTACATGAACATCGTTGCAGACCAGGTTCACCCATTCATGACAACAATATTTCCATTGTGTTTACCAACAGGATAATGCACCATGTCATAAGGATCGAATCGTCAAGGAGTAGTTCGAGGAACATTCCAGTGACTTTCAAGTCATGTCTTGGGCTCCAAATTCACCTGATATTAATCCTATAGTGCATTTGTAGTCCCACCTGGGAACCCAAATTCATGCTGCCATGCTAAAACTCGCAATGTGCGGGAATTGCAGGACCAGATACTTCAGACACTTGGTGCCAGATACTTCAGACTACATACCAGCACCTTGCGGAGTCAATGCCACGTCAGGTGCTGGCAGTTTTGAGGGCTAAAGGTGGTCCCACATGTTATTAACAGGGTGGTCATAATGTAATGGCTCTTCGGTGTATATACACTGAGCAGTTTGGTCAGAAAAAAAATTTTGGTGGCATCCTTTCCCGAAAATAGATAACAAAGCATATTTCCTTGCCACTCAACACTTTCAAAAAAATTAACTGTGTTTATAAAGTTAGTGCACAGGTTTTTTTTCTAAATTATTTTTTATGAGAGATATGTGAAAAGGCTATGTACGACATCCAGCTATGAAATGCCATATTGAAATTTTCACTTGTAATTTGGTTAACTAGGAAAAAATAAATTGAATACAAGCCAGAGTTCCCTTCTCTCTTGTAGTTTCTTCTCTTCTCTCTTATAGAGTTCCCTTCTCTCTTCTTAATATTTCAAGAGCATAACAGCAAGCTTTGTTTGAAGCAGTACTTGTTTATGCTCCCACTAGAATAACGTGTTTGTTTGCAACAATGGGTGAATGTGAAAGTCATCCTTCCCATTCAAAATAGATGCTAAGATCCAAAATGTTGATAAAATTCATTTATTCAGTCACTGATTGAATAAATAAACATGGATAAAGAGATTGGCAAATTTAAAGTTATTTTGATACGAGAAAAATCTTCCAAAAATCCTAAATTAAATTCATGTCAACATTGGCACTAATATTGTTCAGAACGCTGAAAAAGACCCAAGCTTTTTTAAATGCATTGCAACTTACAATGAGTCACGTTTCCCCGTCTTCCAGTACGACCCTGCAACAAAGCACCAAACCATGCAGTGGAAGAATCTCGCTTACAAGAACGAAGTAAAGATTCATCAAAGCAGGCATGATAATGGTTTTCTTTCTTCTAACATCTAACAAAATCTTCATGCAGAGTGCATGCCCAAAGGAAAGATGATTTACAAGTCTAAAATGAGAAGGTTTTTGACATTTCTTCATGAATATGCGACAAGAAAATGGTCTCACATGTGGAAGAACTCATGGATTCTTCATCATAACATGGCTGGCTATAATAGCTCTCCGTCAAATAATTCATGGCTAAGCACAAGATCAGCAAATCAATTCTCTTTCCCTGACTTTGCTCCACATGGTATTTTTCTATTTCAAAAAGCCTTCATTAAAAGGAACCAAATTTCAGTCCATGATGTAGTGAAGAAAAAAGCATCAAAGCTCATGAACAAACTAATAGAAAATTACCTGTAGCACAAGGACATTATAATGACAGTGAAGTTTTTTAATTATGTACAAAAAATATCATTACATCAGTCCAATTAATTTTCTGTCACTCCTCAAATTAATATTACCTCTGCATCTAAATATACCAATGTTACTACTGTACACATCAGACAGCCATTGAAATCATTGCAACGTAAATGGCAATACACCAATATTCTGGATACATGTCACATTGTTCTCTTATAGAAGATTACTTAATGAGTAAAACTAATTTCTCCTAATCACTGATTATCATAGCCTTTCTTCTCTCTTAATCGTTTCTTTACATTAAAAATGTATTATAGTTTTCTTTAATTACCTTGTAGTTAAATCAAGGAGTTCTTAAATGTAATATTGATTTAACTGTTATGAATTGTTATTGTTAATTATATGTTGTTATAAGAAAGACAAATATAATAATGTAGGAAAACACAATAATGGAAAATACATTTTAGATTGAACTTTATTGTATAGACTCCAAATATAAAACAATAAAATAAAAAATGACAACACAAACAGCATAAATTAGTATTTCTCCATTATAATAGTACATACAACTGTAAGTATATAAAACAAGCCTTCAATTGATCAATTCGTAACCAACTAGATTATCACCCTGAGAGACCATCAGGTACATCAAACATCTTATAAGCAATTTTTATTCAGAACAGAATTTTGTTTTTACCTTTCTTTGAATGTTTAAATACATTTGGCACGAATCACTACTCATTTAATCGTGCTCTCTAAAGGAAGACTTAGTTTACACATTCAGTGATGAAAGACAAATCTCAAAATTGAGATCTTGGTTTTCGTTTCTTAATGAAAAATGCAATAACAGGTTGGCAACCACATTTTCAGCTGTTTGTAATAAATTATATAATCAGGGTCTGTTGTGGAGTATCAAATATCTTGAACATATCCACAACCACTGCCACAGAAAATGTACTTAATATAAGCCAATTCCTTTTTTAAATGCAATCTTCAATTTAGTTTAAATGATATTCTAAATAAATTTTATAATTAAGTACAGTTTCATAAATAGCAGCATCAGCATTGTTATCCATTAAAAACTTATAAATATCTTATGTAATATCTTATGGCTGTTAAATCTCAATTTGAAATTTAAAAACAATGTTTTAAAATATAAATATTTATAATCAACAATTTGTAATTACATATAAGAAGCTTTGCTATATTTTACAAATATATCTGCTTCAATATAGTTATAAAAAAAAGGGGGGGAAAGAAGAAACCTTGATACAAAAGTAAATTTGGAGTTCTGGATATAGTTATACAAAATAAATTCAAAAGCCAAATACACAGCGTCATTGTACAAATGTTTAATATCCAATTAAAAGTCTGGCAGAAAAATCAGACTTCATGCAAGAACACTTTATTTATAAAGGCAATTCAGTTACTTTATTTTCTGTTAACTTCAAATCAAATCACTTAGCTTTTATAAAACACTCCTTCAGATTCCATAAAAAAAAAAAAAAAAAAAAAAAAAAAAAAAAAAAAAAAAAGAGAGAGAGAGAGAGAGATGTTGGATACTTCAAGTAAATGAGCACGGTAAAATTATTGTTTAAAAGCCAAACACATAAAAAGATAACACAAATAAAATATATGTATTTTCAAAATTTACACAGCACTTTAAGTACTTTTCAAGTCACAACTAAATCTGCATTAAAATGAACATTATATTATTAACAATATATCAAACTAGAAAGCCCACTGGATCTGAAGTTAAATTTCTTAATGGCTTTTACTAGAATTGTTTTTGCATAAACATCAGACAAATAATCACAAATACGGAATTCCAATGCTGCTTAACAGAGTATGTTTCATATAAATTGCATTGAATCACAATGAGAAAACAACTTTCAATTTAAAATAAGTTTAATTGGTCCAAGTGCATATGTTTTTAATTAAAATTAATAAAACTTTTGGTCAATTTAAATGGAATTTTTATGCCTTGCACTGTACTCTGGATTAACCATTTGCCATGCTACGGATCATCCGTACTTCTCAAAACAAACAATAAGATCTCCAATTTCATAAATGAAGATGAAATATTAAATGAAAAAGTAATTTCTTTGGGTCTTGTTGAAACTATTGTGGATGTTCACAATTTCCAAAATTTAAATGAAATATGGAAGACCAACTCCAGACAGAAAAAGACCAATGCATGCAGTAGAACCTTACTAAATAAATACTGTAAATGCAGCTACTCAACAAAGCTCAGTGACATGGCGATAAGAACTAAGGTGCAAAAGTAAACATAATGCATGGGAGCTTGTTGAAAAGCTAGAATTAAAATTCAAAATTTGAAATAAACTGAGAAGTCAAATAATGAATTTAAGATGAATGTCACTTACAAACTGTCTGAAAGAATATCACTGCAGGTCACAATACAAATTTTATAGAAGATTATATTATAGTAATTTTTTAGAAGAATAAGCAGAATTCTTCTAAAAAAATCTATGAAAATTTTATCACATTTTAATTAATATTCATTTAAATAATACACTGAATATCATTCATTCATTTAACTTCTAAAAATTTACTTTCTATAACCTACAAGGATATTTCTGAATTATCTGTCCTGTAGCTAACTGTACATTAATTATCATGGATAATAAATAGTGTGGCATTCTCAGGGTTGACCAATTGCTTCAACTAATTCACCAAAGTTAAGCAACAAGTTTTTACAAACTAATTTTTATTACTTCCAATATTTATTGCATATATATATATATATATTTAAAACATACAACCTGGTCAAGTACCACATATTCTACTTTTCAAAAATATATTTTTAAAAGCAATTTTTAGTTGTGTAATCTAGTAAAGAACCAATAACTTCAGTATCAACAGTTTGCTTTCACGTGGTTTGATTATAATAGTTCACATATTATTCACAGAAAATGATGAAGTGAATAGTAATAAATAATAGATACTAAATTTTCTAAAACATAATGATTTATTATCTTATTAATATGTAAGACTGTAAAACTGAATATGTGTTTGCAAATTTAGATAAAGATTTTAAAAGGGCATAAAAAATTAATGTAGAATTGATACCTAAAATACAATTTATTTCCTAATTTCAAGAAAAGTATTTTAAATAATGTTTATTCTGTAAAAGGATTATTATAATAATTTACAAGCAAAATTTAAGCTCTTTACATTAATAAAATGAACATTTTTGAAAGTATTGAAAATATGTCCTCAACATTGTAGGAACTACAAGCAGACACTTTGCTTTGGTATTCATAAACTAATATAAAATTTAAAACTCTTTAAACTGATTTTTCAGCATTTTAGAATGAGGTCTGCCAACCCCTGCAAAAAATCAATAGTCAAGACACAAACTACACATGCATTCAGTACAAGTTCTCTTTAAGCTGTATAAGCTGCCCTTGAATCATGCCTTTCATGTTATTAAAATGAAGAAATTCTTAAACATACACATAAAATAATTATATTAAAGAAAGCAATATGTAACTCCCAATGCAGAAAGCAGATTATTATCTAATGCATGGAGTTTCCACACTTATAAAAAGTAGCCTGAACTTTAGCAAATATTTATTTAACATCATACTTATTTTTAAGCATGCCATTATTAAAATTCATATACATTAACTTCATTCTGGTGAAATATCCCAACAGCTCTTACCTTTTCTATTTGAAAATAGATAAAAATATGAAAAGAAGTTCAAAGCTATCCTTAAGCAATTAAAAACAATTAATTAATAGTGATTAGACTTCAGACAAATTTCAATTTCCAATTTTTTAATATTTTTTGTTCTTTAAATTTCAGATTTCCTACTTCTCAAGAAAAATTTCTTGAGCAACTCATTGTAAAGAAATTGAAATAACACACGCATATGTATTCCCATTCATGTAATAAATCTTAATTTTTCCAAATCTGGAAATCTCCCAAACTGAAAACTAAAGTTTTGTAAAAGATTTTAATAAGAATAATTAATAGTAAGGAATTTATTTAAAATAACTAGTTATTTTATTATTTCTGCTTTTCAGTAACTTCAGCATCTACCATAGTGCAAATCAGTTAAAAATCTTCTAGTTTCAAAATTTATCAGACAACATTTGTCAACACACATAGGTCATTATCCAGCTTTTGATTTTCTACTGTAGAATATTAGCTTACTAGTAAAGGTTTGCTTGCTCTGATTTCTATACATGCAATTAGTAAGGGGAAGAACAGGTTTATATTAAGTTTCAACTTATGTAAAAAAAAAGCAAGCATAGTTTGGCATAGATTTTGAATGTGATCAGACGCATCTTCGGAAGTAAAAAATGGGAAGAATTCAATCAGTTTATAACAAAAGCAAAAATGAATGTAGTACGATCTGTTGAGGCAAATAATAAAAAAATGCACAAAACTTACGATGCTAGAATTCTGAAAGTGTTAGAAGGAACTGGATTGAAATTAATTTCATTAACTAAGCAAGGTGAATTTTTGTAACTGCCAAGGTTTCAAAGAAACCTAATTCATGAACTGAAGAAGCTTTACAGGATCTTTTTCATAGATCCAAAAAGTCAAAATTGTAATTGAGAGTCCAATTATGATTAGCTTAACTGAAAATAGAGGACCACATCTGATCATTCCCTGAATTCATAGAATTTTAATTAATGTCAAACTAAGATTAATTTTTTAGCCTTATTTAAAAATTTTACATTTGCATGTTTTCTCTTCTAATTTGGTTTAGATTAGACTTAGCTAATTTTGTATTTTATATTTAATTTCACTTCAAAAGGTGTCAAAAGCTGTTTGCTTGCCAGAAAGATAGAAGAATTATGTTTCTGTTCAAATTTCAGCTCGTGTAACTATCAAATATTAACAAATAATTTTGTTTAAACTTTTGCATTGTGTGCATTACTTCTAATTAGAAGTCATTTAAATAGTACAAAATTTATCCAGGACTCTTCTATTTTTACTAATATTTGGGTTGGTACTCTAAATGTTATAATGTAACCATACATATTTGATTGCAATGTTATAGCTTTCATGATTTACTACACATTTTTTTTTTTTTTTTTTTTTTTTTTTTAAATACAGATAATACTAGATGGGCAGAATAGTTAAGGGAAAATTCTACAGTGAAAATACATTATGTGTGGCCACAATACTTGCCAAAAAAAAAAAAAAAAAAAAAAAAAAAAAAATCACCGTTTTTACATAAAACTAGTCATAGAAGTTTCTATGTGCAAACAGAGGACCTTGTTCAGCAGATAAATCAATATACTATTTTTGGGTGCTAAAAGCTATTAGGTAAAAACAGTTTATAATTTTAGAACAAATACTAATACATTCTATATTTCAATAGAGTTTAGAGACAGAAAAATATATGAAACAAGGCAACATTTTGTTTTCATTTTGTATGTGTTTTTACAGTCTATTCCTTTTTCTTTTTTAAAAAGTATTATTTAAATTGAGAATTAAAAAAAGGGGAAGTAAAGCTCAAGAAAGTAATTACTATTAATTCAGAAATTCTCAAATTTCAAGAATGCAAAATAAAACACAATCGAGATATCTAACTGCTTAAAGAAATTATTCTGAACTATCCTTGGGTATATGGGAAGGAAAACTTCCATTCAAGCATTTTTAAGTGATATAGTTTTTGATGCTCTAGAATCTCATAAATCCAGGGAGGATTTAATTTTAAATTAAACAATAGAATTCTTATAGGATATATTCCTTTTTTAATAACTATCCTAGCTGATTCAATACATTTTGCATTATTTTTAAAATACTTTACAGAATAAGTTCAAAGATAATTTTAAATGTGTATACCTTTATAGGAAAAAATAACATACTTTATAGAAAAATACTGAACATGAAGTTTTTCAGAGACTTCAACATAATAAACATGCGAGTTAGGAATGAATATCTTGCCCTTTCCTTTGACCATTCTGTCAATTTTCAGCAACACTATCAGCTGACAAATGATTGTTAAACACTGTAGTCATTTGTTTTTTATTCATGGTATACCACATCATGTTGGTAATAATATTCAGACTTTTTAAATCTTTTCACTTCACATAACAAAATGTATGAAATAAAATGAGCATATGGTGGCTGTTTTTGGATATATTTTCCTAATTATGGTATGCTCACCGTGTACTTACTGTCTTGAAAATCGAAGCAATACTTGGGCTTCAAGCCTTTAAAGGTGATGACATATGAACATCTGTCTTGTTAGAATATGCCTCATGGACGGCAAATTTATGGAGTAACCATGTGAATTTCAAGCTACAGAAATAAATGAGATTTCATCTTTTAATTTCAAGCAAACAATGCAGAAAATATGCAACAGGAACATTAGTGTTTAAAAATTTTTTTGAAAAAATATGTTCTCTAACTTCTTTTCACTGCAAAGAGGACTGTTATATAAACTAGACAATTTTTACATTTCAGAGGTAACATGAATGACAAACTGAAAAATATTTATAAATGTTAATGAAGTCCTGTTTTAAATTTAATATGCATTCAAAATCACCTTCAACAATTGATATATTGCTATCTTTATTAGAGCATATTAATTATTTATCCCAATATTGTGCCACACATTATTTTAGATATAAAAAATTCTTCTTTCTAATCTAACTCATGCTCATTTTTTGTAATATACATCATACACACGGCAAGACCATTTAGTATACTACAACTCACATTAAGCAGCAAATGATAATTATAATGATGTAAAAATTAGGATGCAATATACTTTTAATACAGCTAAAAACTCAAAGTAATTTTTAAGAAATTATTTTTCACTGTGACTCTAATGATCAATATTTCGAAATTTATACTTTCACTAACCTTCCATTTTTAACTGACTCCAAAATTCTAGGAGGAAAAAATACTTCCTTGTTAAAAAATATTTCCATTCAAATCATACAATACTAAAGAATTTTTAACCTCCCCCCTATAATATGTAAGTAATGGTATAAAACTTTAAAAAAATCTATTTGTAATAGTAATTTCAAGCAAAAGTATCTGTAGACTAAAGGAATTATTTCTTGAAAATTAATTTTGGACCACAATATGTTGGTTGAATAAAATTTTCCCTAATAGAAAATTTCAATCATACACAAACATTCAAGCTTTCAAGAAACACAATAACTACAAGAGCAGCCTATACAGAGTCACACAAATCAAGGCATGTGAATCTAAAGTCTTACAATTATTAATTACATATTTAAAAAATTATTTTACATTCTCTCTTCTGATGGACATGAATATAGTCTATTAAATATGAAATGCATCTGAGCTACCAATTATAATATTTTGACATTCAAGAAAATCCCTGACAATATTTAAAAAGCATGTAATTGATTTAACCCTTTCAGTTCTAATGGGCACATACATCCCAGAGATTCGATTTCATGCCCTTTGGGTAAATAAAACCCACTTTTAAATGGTAAATAAAAACCCACTTTTATATATATGTAAGATAAAATATATGAATCAAAATTGAAGTTTAAACTAATGGTAAAACATTAATTCTTCCTCTCTATTCAAAAATCGTAATAACTTCTCTGCATTGCGTCATTTCTAGATCACTCTATGGCCTGCGCAGCTCTGATAACGTAATAATTGGGAACTGAAACTGCCTTTGTAAACCAAAACTTTTCTCTTCGCCTGCTTCCATCTTTCATAACTACGCACTTCAGCTTTTGCTCTCTACTGTGCTAACATGTAATTTCACTGGCTTGCTTTCTATTTCAACAATATCAAAAATGTAAATCTTCTGAGGAAAGGCACAACGAGAGTGCCAAGTGATTGTGGCCACAAATATCAGTTGCAAATAAAAAATGGAATTAAAACTGCCTCGACTGCCAAGTTCTTTAGATATTACCAAGTTAGCATTACTAGCATACTACACAATCAAAATCTTCTTCAATATGGGTCTAATCACGCATCTACAGTGTTCTGTCTTTTCCTTTCATTTGCTTTTGTTATGACATATATATGAAATGCTGACCACATCAAAATACCAAATACAGTGTTTCAAAGACTTTACATACTAAAGAATTAAAAAATACGCATTAAATTATGAATAGTAATCAGGAAATTAATGTAGTGTAAAACAACATAAAATTAATTGAAATGATAAATTAAAAAATGTTAGATTTAAACAAAAAAAAACAGTTTAGCTACTATACTCTTTGCCCCCACCAAAAAACTTTCCAGTCAATTTAGAATTAATTTTTTTATTTAATTTTTTTAACAGATGAAATGCAATTCCCAACTTAAAAAAAATACTTAGTTTTTAATACAAAAATCTACTACAGAGAATAGAAAGCATCACAACTCATTAAATAATAAAAAAAGCATGAAAAGAGAATTTTGAATAAAATGAGTAAATAAATATTTAAAGTTGCAAGACAGGAAGAAAAAATGTTTATCCAATAGTTAATACCATGCCTGATCATTTCCCGACTAGGTACCATATAACAATATGACTGTTAAGTATTAAAATATTATCTACAAAAATAAAAAGTAATTTACGTTAAGTTTCATCTCTACTCAGAAAAATTAGTCAACAGATGAAAGATTCTCAGCTAAAAGATAATTATTTTATATTTACCCTTCCTTTACAAAGTTTCATAACAGGTTAATTTTGAATTTGTGACTTATCACAAATTTTTTAAGCCTGAAGGAATTAACTATGAACAATATAATTACATGTTTAAAAGTTATTTCTAAAATTTTTATATTTTACTGTTAATTTGAAAAAAAAAAAAAAAAAAAAAAAAAAAAATTACCTTTTTTTTTACTTTTGATATGTACTTCATATAAATATTATCCAATAAAATGAAGGGCTAGTCTCTCAAGTTTTTAGAATATCACAGTACAATGCATAATAAAATACAGTATTTTTTTAACTTTCAAAATCTTTATTAAAAAAAAATTTCCATCATCTTTTTGTGCAATCTTTTCATATAAACTATAGATTCACACGGCCTTAAAATAAACATTTCTACATTTTCTTCTTTGTGGAACTACACATATAAAACTTTTAAAGTAAAAATTGTAAAATGTAAAATGGCATGTACAAAATAAAATAGCAGAACTTGGAAAAGTGTTCCTGAAAGCATATATGCCATTTATTTTTATATATTTTCAATTAATAAATACTAAAAATATAAATGTAAAATGGATTTATGCAAATATATTTATTATCCTAAATTGAGACGAAATGAAAAATTAATAAACTCAGATAATTATGAACAAGCAAAACATCCATAAAGCAATATATACATAACCTACAAATATTTAAGACAGATAAATATAAGTATATTGAGTACAAAATTTGGCACTATATTTTGAAGAAAACTTCTCCAAGGTTTTTAATTTATTGTTCATGTTTTTTTATATATAATTTTCAAAAACTATTACATCAAAATTTTAAAAAATCACATTGAATAATTTAAAAAAAAAAAAGCACAAAACAGCAAGTACATCCATTTCTACATAACAGAACAGACTAATCATTTTACATTAGCAAACCGCAAATAAAATAAACTTCAATTATTTATTACTGAATGATCAATCAAAAATGCACCAAACAATAATCCACACTTAAAAGATATCTTAGACTCAAAGAGAAACAGTAAACCTGTTAACACAGGTGGAGAACAATAGCAAAGCTATATCACACATATGCACTTATGTACAGTAAATGCGATAATCTGCTTCAAAGCTTAGTATTTTTCACATTTTGTGAAAGTGTTTAAGGCTTATGCACATATATGTGCCTAAGCTTTAGCATATTAATGACTACGTTGCAAACCTAAAAAAATATAAAATTTAAAATTTGAATTCTTACGCACAGTAACATAAAAATACAATACAGTTTATATACTGTAATTTCACAACTGGACAAACAAATATTTAAAATAAAAATACAAGCACAAAATCAGTAGAAAAAATAAAATGAATACATTCTTATCCCATTTTAAAATAATAGTAATCTAAAAAAAAAAAAAAAAACCCTCTGAATATTTAAAACAAAAAATTCTCAAAACATCAATGGCAAAACAAAAAGGTAAAATCATCAATAATGCACGAAACTTTAAATGAAAGAAATAGCCTAGGGCTGAAAATTCAAATAATACTTCACTTCAATGTATTAATACTTGCTTTATAATACTGATTTATACTTGACAGACTAATTTCACAGATTTTCATTTGTTTGAATGAAAAGGTTCCAGAATTTCAGCAACAAATAAAAGTGTAACAAAAAACCGTGAGTAAAATAAAATTTAGTTGAATAAAGAGTGATATACATTTATTATATTTTGGGTATATCACAAAACTCATATGACAGTCTTTCTTTCTTTTTTTTTTTTTTTTTTTAGAAATATCCCCAATTAAATCAGAAGTTGTTTAAAGACTGGCAAAATGCTTAATTACTAATCAAGCAGAAAGTTGTTTTAATCTTGAACAGAAATTTTCATCTTACACCAAAAATATTCTTTAATGAAAGCCAAATTCAATGTGAAAAATTATTCAGCTTTTTAATGCACTTTATAAATTCTGATATCAAATTTCTTATATTCAACCACATAATTAAGTAAAAATTATTAGTTAAACATCAAAATATGGTTTTCAAGCTTTTTAAGATAATTGAGCATTTACCTGAATTAACAAATGCTGACAAATGGGGCAAGTTAAATGAAGAATGAAAATACAAGTTAAAATGCAAGATGAACAATTACATGGTATAATAATGTGTGTCAAAAAATATAATAATAAATGAATAAACAATTGTTTTATATGTTAAAATATTGACAAATACTTTCATAAGATAAAATAAAATACAGGAATGTTTCATGTAAAATTTGCTTATAGATATTAAAGCATATCTTATATAAAATAGTACAAACATTATTGCAACGTGCTCATTAAAGACAACATAGCAATGACCAGCCTTGTGAAAAGTGCAGGCACATGAATATGGAAGAAATTCACTGGCAGTGACGCAGGCTGAAAGATGGCTTAGATCCTATCTGTCTGACTACAGTGCAGTTTCAAACAATGCAGATTAAAAACTGACAAGTATATTCAGAAAGACAAGGACTAGCATTATATATACTCACACTGATAACATTAATTTAAAACATGTATAAAAAAAGTTAATTCAAAAAGCAAAAATCAGGAAAAGCTACTTCATAATTCTTTTAAATAGAGGTATTTCTTAAATTGTACAGAAAGGGGAGGGGATATTATGGAACAAAATAAATCTT